TTGGCGATGGAGTGGAAAAATCGTATTCCGTGGTCTACGAGATAATGTCCATGTTTATGGTGTGAAATTTCGTGGTTGGTGGGAAGACCAACTTGATTTTTCTCCCTGATTGAGAAGGGATGGTAAATAGAGTTGACGAGTGGATAGAATGGATTTTCCGAATCAATGTTGTGGATACAAAACCATGTTTTGCAGTCAAAATTTTGCAAGAAAGGAAGCGGGGTTCGTGATAGGAGAGGTGATGGCTAGAATGGATAAAGTTATCATATCTCCAGTGCTTGTTGGTGACAATGGAATGGATGTGAACATGGCTCCGAGACTAGGAATGATATAGGATTTATAGGGACTCTTCAGGCACCATAGCCTGAAGCAGATATGCAACAAAACTTTTGAAGTTTCTGCCAGGGCGGTGGGATTGATTGATCTGATAATGAGGGTGGGAATCTGATAACTCATAAATGAGGGGGATTGGAACAGTATAAGTTTTATTCCTTTTCCCTGCCAAATTCAACGACAGATTATTTACCTTCCCGACAGGACTTGTTTCTCTGAAAAATCTTTCAAAGTTGAATATGTATTATCAGCAATATCTGAAGTGATCAAAGCATCGGCTCGTCGTCCTGAAACAGGTCGTCCGCCTGGCATTGATGTTCCTGGAATATGTATCATTGTTCATATCAATGATGTGCAACATCAACGAGCCAATAGAAACAGAAACATCATCATCTGTACATGGATATAATGGACGTCTTGTCCGGTCTGAATTTTGGGCATATTTATTTCCCAAACACAAGCTTTAGCGCAACCTTCGTGGCGAGCGGATGCTGTCGCAATCACAACTATGTGATATATGAATAACCATGATTCCTCTTTCCCTTTGAGAGATACTTGCTCAGGAATCCTGTGACTATCACCAATGTCACTGAATTTCTCAACGTTTTCACATCTGCGAACTAACACCGTAATCTCGTATCTATCATTGTTCAATTGTCGACTTCCAAAGGAATTCGTCCAAAAATGCAACCGCCAGTATAGTTGTACTAGTCCAACATCCAAGAGCGTCTAAATTAAACGCTGGACGAAAAACAGGTGTAACCTGTAACGCGTATGATCAAAACTCGAATTTTCTTGGTCATAATTTGAATTGTGAAACTTTGTGAAATGTTAGACAAATGGAAATATCTGAGCTGAGAAGAGATCAGGATGACCGTGTGTTTGTGGAAAAAGCAAGTGCGCAGAGTAGGTACTCGGTAGGAGAATCAATACTGAGGGGTAACGCAATGATGATGACTGGCGTCGCTCTTATACTTGATTGAGCAGATTTATGCATATCACATCGTGTTGTATCTGTCTCACTACCTAGATATCGACCAATCTTCATCCTGAAATGCACACCATGCAAAAGTTATTTCGAGATCACTTGATCATATTCTCTTAAAGCGATAAAGATGTGTTTAGTGAAAATGTTCGGTTAAGGATCATATACGAGCAGTATAAGAAAGTGCCTAGGTCTTTATACAGAATGAGAGAATCTCGATATTTGATTGACCCCTGATGAATTAACCTTATTAAGCTTCACTTAAGAAAACATAAGGTTAATAAAATCTTTTAGTTTGAAACTTAATCGTTGAGAGTCCACTATAATTCCATAATTCTGTAATTTATCAAAACGTTCCTGCAGAGCTTACCTTACCTGACCACTTTTACAACTTAACACGGTATAGTTGTGGGGGGAGAAGAAACAGAACGGAAACATCAAATTTTCCGATGAAAAGATGATAACTAGATGGGTGGGTAGGTAGGCAGATATTGGTATGACATATATGAAGAAAAGATGAGGAGTTCATAAGTGGTAGAATGTAGGGGCTTATATATATACATATACATATACATATACATATCTGTATATATGAAAAATATATAAACAACGTCGTTACTACATACTCGTAATCTCACAACATATGTGAATAACATAAAGATATACTCATTCAAGTGAATCAATAGTAAAGCAACATCTCGTATTCTTTTACTTCCATCTGCCCCCGCAAAAGGCCTGCATTTAGCTTATTATTACAGTACGCTGTAGATCTCCACATTCAATTAACCTTGCCCTTCCCTTCACTTCCCTTCCCCTTCCATCTTTTCTACCAAAGCAAAGTACCCTTTTGCAACAAACAACCAACTCCTTCCACTCGGGAATCCTTCGGACTGCGATCCTAGTACCAACTGTTTCTTACATTCATTCATGAACAATCTTTCATCAACATTATTTAATGTGTCAATCGTTTTACTACTCAAGTATATTGACAATCCGAACCGAAACAGTCCCAAACCTTGGCACCTTCTTCCAATATTAGCCACTACCGAAATTACTTGGATGGAGAGAAGAAAATAAGTCGCAACACAAGTATCCCTGGACTATGATCATATCATCACGAGCGATCAATTGTTACAGCGTCGAATCCATCATCCATTCTGCCATCCGTTCATCCATCCCTCAAGCAACACGACTGGAAGGCGACATTCCAACCTTAGATTGAACTCCCCTCAAAAATATCTCCTATCCGCATTCCACGGGAGATATCCGCACGCCATATATACCAAACAAGTATAGAAACCTGCGAGCGACGAGTAATTAGTGGAAGAGTGGGAAGATAATAGTAGATTATTGTCGCAGTCGCAAAGACCATCGTCTACCAACATCGCACACAATGTATCGATCCATCCTCTTATTTGCGACGGCAATTCTACCCGCTATTGTCGGAGCCCAACAATTACAAGATGGCTCAATTGTTCCATTCTCATCCGACCTTCCATCGTGTGCCTCGCAATGTGGACCTCTTTCCGATGTTCAAGGGGCTTGTATTCCTCCAGTTACGGCCGATGTCTCTAGCTCTTGTTTTTGCGCAGATTCTAGATTGACGCCTTTCCTTACTGGAACCTCTGGGGTATCTTCTGTGTGTGGTGCTGCAAGCTGTACGTCGGAAAAGGATCTACAAAGTATCGAGACTTGGTACCAACAATATTGCAATACGCGATCGGCATCGACTACTACATCGAGCAGTGGAAGTTCTGCTACTTCGTCAAGTTCATCGGGGTCAAGTTCAGGTAGCAGAAATCAATCCTGGTATGTAATTTTTACGTGGAAACGGTCATATAAATAGCTAATTCTCTTCCAGGTTCTCTAGTCATGCGAAATGGGTTGCAATGCTTATTGTACTTGTTGTTGGAATAACACTTGCCTGGCTTATCGCATTCTATTTCCGAAGACGATATCTTCGAAAGAGGGAAAAGGAAATTGAAATGAGACCACCAGTTGCTTTGGGGCCACATCAACTTCAAAATACAACAGATGGATACAGATATGGAGAGGGCGCCATTAATGCTGCTGAAGGAGGACATCATAAGGAAGCTACCAGGTCAACCGTGACATCTACACCAGCAGAGGCAACGAGAGGCAAACGGGAAAGTAAGAGTCTCCAGAAAAAGCAAAGAACTTAAAATATTGGATCTTTAACATATGATGGAATTCATGACTGCGGCGTTCAACTCGGCGATCGGGTACGGTGTTTGGGGAAAAGTTAAAAGGCATATGGTCTTTGTTGAATATATTTATTAATGGATGGAGCTTTGTTGATACCACAGGTGAATGGCGATAGTGTCACATAATGGAATGTCTTATTCAGTCTGAATGAGTGCATTATTGAGGAGGTATCAAATAGTTGGTACTGTTAATATTATGAAGTTTCCATATTCATCTATTGTCTAGTGCAAGGGAATTAATGGTCGTTTGTGTCGTTTGTTACATTCGGTTTCTGGATGAAAAACTGGACAACAGTTCCCATCTAATTTGCTTGTGCACAGTGTCCAATAGTCTAGACTGACAGACTATCAAATGCAAATTTCAGGAATCTGATAGCCTGTGGCTGTGGGCTGTATTCCACATGATTAAAGAGCTAGTGAGTGAATCATTCCATTGTGGACTTCTCTTCTCTTCAAAGTATGAAAGCCAAAGATCCCTTTACAAGTACCATCTCACAAAATAGCTACACGATGTCTGTCCAGGCAACAATTCCCAAAGAAGTCATCATACTCGGCTCTTGCATTTTGTTCACTTGTTACATTCTCGACTGTTTAGTTCATGAAACATTCTGGTTCTGCATTGGACTTGAGACTGTCTTCTTCTGCTCTGGGTTGGGGATCTATCTTTTGGCTGTCAAGAACATCTACAGCTTCAGATTGAACTGGGTTGGCAAGAGAGGTAGAAGCATGGTTTAGGAGTGTTGAGATTGATGCTTACCTACTTGAAAGAATACAAGATCTAGATATCCAAGATTCTTCAGGTTCCCCGATTCACTTTTAGGAAAGTCCCCTTGCCCCCTGACTCGAAGTTGATCCGAGCATACACAGCAAGATATTCACTTGGATCCACAATCTCCTCTTCTCCTCTTTTTCTGCCTAGAATCTCGAGCTGGCGCCTCGACCGACCATTCTTGTTGTCCTTTTAGGAAAGACCTCTGACCTCTTCCCTCCATTCTGGTTTCTCTTTCTTTTACAATCAACAACCTTAGATACCTCTCTCTACTACTCGCAATACTTGTTTTTTCAAGTCATATCCCATAATTTCTCTTCCTATTACAACTTTCAACTTTAGATACCTCTACAATCTTGTAGATACTTATTTATTCAAACTATCACCTTGCTTTCTACTTGCAATATTCGATCACATACTTGCTTCGAGTCTCGCAGACTTCCTCAAGTACACTACTTCACCTTCTTGATTTGCCATCACAAATCTACTTTACATTATTTATCTTCTGCGCCGCCAGTTTCACCATTTTGCTCTTCAGATTGCGGCACTTCACAGTTTGTCTTCACACAACAAAATTCGACATCTTTATCCTCAATCAAAGCCTCTGAGTTGCTACCCAGCAAAAACCACACTCAAACTCGAAATAGCATTACTCATGATATACTAAATCTATCAATACTACGAAATCATGGACATACCTTTGTCTTCCCGAAATGGGGGCGAGTCTTCGAGACTCGATCATATTGGCCAACACTCTTCTTATGCCACCCCTCCATCATTTGGTCTCACCTCCCACTCACAACGCATAGCAAAGCATGCTAAACATCAACAAGCAAATGCAGAATATGCAGGTTATGCAGAATCTCCCGAATATGCAGACCTCGTCACAAAGTTACAAATTCGTATCGCTGTTCTCGAGAACGACCTCGCCCATGCTACAAAGGATAAAGATGAAGCTATCAAGAGTTCCGTCATCATTGCTAGAGCACTGGGTAACGTTGCCAACAATTCGGAGTCACTTACGAGAAAGCAACAAAATCCTGATGCCGAAGAATTGGAGGAGTTGAGAGTTGTAGTGCCAAGATTGAGAAGGGAGAATGCTATTCTTTGGGAACGCATCGAGTCTCGGCAGACTGATCACATGGCCATCAATGATAGTCTCACTGATGCTTCCTTTAAAGGCAAGAACCCCGACCCATTTTCCGTGGATGAAACCAACCACCACATCCCATTCAGGCCACGAACAACACATCCCATCATCGATGCGGCCATAAAGAAAATCAGCACTCAGGAAGAATCCAGGCACTCTCATCACCCAGTGAACTTCAGCGAAGCAACCCATCTTCCCAACACAGTCAATCTTCAGCGAGGTGACGACGGTAGTTTATCGGTTCCACCCAGCTTTCCCATTCTCCCCACCACCCAAAAGAGAAGAACCATTCACGACTACAACACCTCCACGCTCGATGACGTTCTTGCCTCTGATGATGAAGATGAGGATCCGGTAATCAAAATAGAAGATCAACTTCTCTTTCAACAACAGGCACATGTAAATTTCATTAATGTTCCTGCTCCTGCTGTCCTCAAAGCCGGTTTTGAGTTATCTCCAGAAAAAGCTGTGAGGGGTCACGATTATGCTAATCAAAGTCAGCCTAATCGCAATTTCTACTATGATAGGTTCAATACACGCAATCCAAATGCATCAACTCGTTCCCGATCCGCCGAACTTGCCGATTTGAGACCAGGAACCACTATCTGGACAACACCTCAACAGAGAGATGGTGAGATCATGACTCACATGGGTGATTGTGATCCAAAAAATCGTAACATTCCGGACTATTTTAGATACGGAATTCTTTATGTTCCTGGGCCAGGAGATGGTGATTTTTTGAGAGGTGTCCATATTGGGGGTATTCCAGAGTATATGGACCTGAGGGATGTTCTTACGAGGGTTAGAGGTGGTAGGATCTACTCAGCAGTTCTATTGGACACAATGAAGTTGGCGGGTAGTAAGTCGGTGTTGGTTACGTTCATCGATCAGGAGGATGCCAAGGCTTATGTTGAATATGCGAACGCTCATCCCATTACGCTCAGGGCAACAGATTCGGGTGGTGAGAATGTGGGCAAGGCGATTGTCACACATATTCATACTCCCACATACCCTTTCTCTCCAGCAAAATTTAGGACGATCTTTGAGCTGAATCGTACTCGCGTCCTTACGATCCCCAATTTCCCTCCGACTATTTCCCTTCGAACTCTCGTGTATGATTTGAAAAACAGAAATGAGTTTAAAGCTAACAGCTTGCTCGAATGGTACATCGATGAAGAAGGAACTCTCCGAATGGAGTTTTCCAGTATGGATGAAGCTGGGAGTGCTTTTGGTCTTTTAACCAGGTCGGGTGCTTATAGAGATTTTGGATTGATCTTGCAATTCGAGAGAGATAATTGTGAAGGGGACTTGCAGGAATTGGAGAAAGAACCTGAAAAGAGAAGACCCATGTTTCCTCCAACAGAACTGGGAGTTAGGACCAAAAGACGCGGAAGTCGAGTTGAGGGAATGGGCGATGGTTCGAAAGTGGATGCAGTTGTTGATTCGGTTTTAGTGGTGCAGAGAAAGAGACTGGCAGCGTTGCAGAGACAACATGATGTCATTCCCAGTTTGAGAGGCTCAGCTTTAAAGGCAGGTTCGTGGGCTGATGAGGTCGAGGAGAAATTGGGAGATAATACATCGATCCAGGATTTTGGTCGTCAAGATGAAGACACTGGTACTATCAGACATCAACCATATCAAGCAGATTCCAGTGCCGGATCTACATCAACCCTCATCGGAGCATCATCTGATGCCCCACAAAAAGATGAAGATCCCTCTTTCGTCACCCCAAAACGCGCACCTCGCATTATTACTGGAAAACAATGGCTCCTTGAAGTTGCTGCCGCTGAATCTTCTTCTCAGAATCCATCTGCATCATCAGCTACACCAAATTCTGATGCGCCAGCTCCAATGCCAGACACACCTACCTCCAACAACTCCACACCTCGACCCCGTCTTGTTGTTTCAACCACATCTCTTCCTCAAAATGACACCACCAAATCTTCCTCTCCAAGCTCCGCAGAATACAGCATTCATTCCTTCGCTTCCTCCGCAGTTTCTGCCGCCGACAATGACAATCCTTCCCTCCCATTTTCCCATCCCAGAAAACAAACCCAAGCTCCTCTTGCACACAAGGCTAAACCATCAGTCCAGTTCATCGGTCCACGCATCTCCGCCTTCCAACCTGCCCAACCCGGAGAGGCTCCCCCCAATCTTCCGATCGAGCCAACTGCATCAACATCAACCCCACCAAGCGCAAATATTCAAGCCCCCCAAACCTTCAAATCCACAGTCGAAAATGCAGATACAAAGGTTTATTTCGATCTTGATCCGGAAGCTGATACCGAGAAGGCAATTTTGGAGAGTGAGGTTGAGAGTGATCATGAAGTACATGGAAGTGTGGATAAAGGAGAGGTTTTGAGTGAGGAAAGGGGAAAGGGAACGGGAACGGAAAATGCAGTGAAGATTAATCCGGATGAAATTGATCTTGATGGGGAATCTGATGGGGAGAATGATGAGAATGAGGGTCTTTTTCAAAAGGAGCTAGTTCTTGATGATAGAGCTCAGGATTAACGTCGAGATGGAGACGGGGATGGAGATGGAGATGGGGAAGCATGCAACGCAGATGTCTCTACTCATTCAACCAACATCGATGGAGAGATCATGGGTTTACTTCTACTTCTGCTTCTGGATCAGAAAATCATATTGGGAATGGAGTTTTGGGTGAAAATTCTAATGCTGGTGCTACTATTATTAAATGTTTACGTAGCGTGATGGAGGGTGTTTTTTTCTTTTCTGCGATGAGACATTTTTTTCTCTCACACATATTTGCTGAGATGAGCAGGGTGCATACGCTGGCATCAGATAATTCTGCAATGAAAGCGAGATGTTCTTTTGAATTCTGAATTTTTTGCTTATTTCCATCATCTTTTTTTGCGCTTCGATTTGTTGGGGGAGTTTCGTGCGTGCGGATTTACGAATTCATCTATCTATTCATTTATCTTTCTCGAATAGACAAATAGATAGATTGGATATGGATAATTCATTCATCTCCATCTCGATTCTCCAAGTAGTAGATAGTTAGACAGTAGAGAAAACATATCAAATCAAAATGAAAGCAAAACACATATTCGCAACTCTGTCTATAAATTTGCGTGACAGTGAGAATCGAAGGTGGTGGATGTTTGGGAAGTGCGGGGTGGGTTATAGATAGAGTTCGGTTGTATGGATTGGATGCTATTATATGAGAGAGTTTGTCTGTTGAGTCTTTGGTGCAGCAGCTCATACCTAGGTATGTAAGGAATTGGATTGAGCTTGGGGTGTGTTGGATATCAGAGGTTTGTGTGGCACGTGACTATTCAATACATGTATCGGGAAGCTAAGGAGTTTAGCTACAACTTATAAGAGAGCAAGGGTTTCTAATAATTCTGTTTCTCTCGACTTTCTTAAATTGGTTTATTAGTCGCTCTCCGATATATTCTGACTTGCAATCGTGACGTTAGATTGAATAGACGGATGCTGAAGTTCTAGTCTTGGACATGTGATCATGACAGTCTTACACTGGAGTCTAACGGACATCGATCCCAAATTGGTGGGTCTCCGTGTTTGTTGCACATCTCAAAAAACAAGATTATCGATATCAATCCAAGACCAGGGATATCCTTAAAAGCTTGATATAAATGCCCTTTTAACAATGTCTTTCTAACACTTTTGGAACTGGGCAATAGGGCATGCATATTTCGAGACATGCAACAATTCCTCGTTTCGATACGACATGACCAATCTTAGAATTTGATTCCATTGAAAAGACTTGGTATACGAGATAAACATCCTCAAGTACGAAGTCACGCCGTACGATTACCATGATTTCGGTTGTCCTCTCCCGTCATTTACGAAAAGAGATGTAAAGAGGATGATAACACGACATAGCCTTAGGATGACACCCAATCAATCGGAAACACAGCCAAGTATCTAAATAATGCCCTCTTCTTACGACATGCAACAAAATCATCACTTCCTGACATAAATCACCTGTCCGGAAACACATCGCAAGCGCTCAATGGTCATGTTTCTCACGTGTGCTGACATTCGTTGGTTGGTGGGGTGGCTCAAGAGTGGAGGTGCAACATTCACTCAATACTTAGATTTATTTATACTGGATCTCATAGAGTCGCAGTCGATCTCAGCCACCATATCGCCAACAATCTCTCTGTTGAACACGAACACTCACTTACTTTTCTCGTTGTTCAATTCATTAGCATATGGTTTGGATGGCTATGTTTGAATCGCTTTGTTGTACTTGATCTGTTGGTGTTTCTTCTAATCTTTTGTTTTTGATTCTCGATCTGTATTTATATGACATCGCCGTGCTTACTTGACAGTTGGTCTTTGCAGTGCAATGAGCTAGTTGGGCTGAACTTTTTACCTAAATTTAGTATCCAGTGCGAGAGTTCTTGGCTACAATAAGAAGCCTTCTAAGTTTACTCATCCTCAGCTTGAGAGGAAACGGAATTTTTGTTCATCTTATCTAAGTTCTATTTCGAACTTGTCCAGTACCTTTACTAATAGTAATTTCGATTTCTATCTTTCGATCCTTCATTCTTTCTTCCTTCTTTTCTGCTTCTGCAATATTCTCATTGCAACCATTCTTGTCTCACGTTCTCTCGAATTCATTCATAATTCCAGATTCAGGATTGATACATGTCGAAAGTGATCAAAATGGCAGACTTTAATTTCCCCGGAGTCGATCTTAGTGATCCTTTTCTTCCGTCTCCCGGTTCAATATCCGTTTATAGCCCGTTCGAATATAGTACTCCTGAAGCTGCCGTCAAACCACCTCATGACTACGGTACATTTATCTATCCGCTCACACCTGTGGATGAAAGACTCAGTCCCATATCATTACCTTTACGATCTCGAAATTGCTCTTCAAATGCACCTCCCTCTCTTTCTTTCTCTCGTTCTTCTAGTACCTCGTCAAAGGTTTCCTTTTCCTCTTCTGCATCAAATATTAATTGCAATCGGCTGTCGAATACCAAGTGGGCACCCCCTACTTCTTTTCCTCACTTTGTATCATTGCCATTGGACATCCAGAGAACCATTTGGAGGCATACGTTACCCAAACCGCAAGTTATCGAAATACACCAATACACGAAATCTACACCACGATCATCATCTTCCTTTTCAACTTCAACGCAACAAGATGAAGAACCCCTCCCATCTTTGACAACTCACAGTCTCTTTCCAATCGCCTTACACATAAATCGCCTCTCTCGTCGCCTCGCTCTCTCCATTCTAACTCCACTTTCTTTCGCTCAACCTTACTACCTCCCTTCAAATCCATACGATTACATAAACTATGTTCAAGATACCATATTCATCTCTTCTCATACTATCTACCCCGATCTCGGGAATCATATCTTGTATTCGAGGAACTTACATATGATTCGATATTTGGCCCTGGAATTTGAAGTATGGTGTGAGCTACTTGGCGATAATCATTTTGTTAATGCACTTTTGGAAATGGAGGGATTGGTGAGAATTGAGATTATTTTTGAGAGACAACCTGGATCGCTTTCTTTCTGTTCAGATTTTTCATCCAATAACGAATCATCAATATTATCGAGAGAACTCGAAGAATCGATAATGAATTGGGGAATCACACATCAAGCTCAAGATACTCTTAGGTTTGCAGAACCGACAAGAAATGAGGAAAGAAACTTGAAAGCTATATTCGAAAGGGAATGCGAAAAGAAATGGTTGTGGGGAAGAGTAAGTGGATGGGAGGATGTAAGTGGAAAATTGAGGTTCAGATGGAAAGAAGAGGAGAGCAAAAGCATTATGCGGGGTCACGCTCACAGATATTCAAATGATGAAAACGAATCTTATACACCTCTACCATCCAGATCAAGCGCAAGGGGTAATTCCCCAATCGGATTTTCCGGAATCAGCTCTGAGACAGCATACACGGGAGATGAACATGAGGTATTAGACCAGGGATTGGAAAGTCTAATGAATAGCGTGGATGATGTTATAATGGATTATGGATATGTAGCGCAAGGACGAGGGAGGTGGGTTAATGGCAGGGATACATATGCGGATCGAGATGATGCATATAGCGAGAGTAACTATTCGCGATGTTCGGCGAGTTTTGAAGATGATTCTGATACGGAGGGGTGGATTTAATGATTCTTTATTTTTCTATTTGGGGGGGGGGGGGGGGGGGGGGTTGTGTAGTACGAGGCGAGGGGAGGAGATTCAAATGCGGAGTTTCGGAGAGGGGAGGGTGAAGGCGGAGTTGGTTACCTTTGTTGCTCAACATAGGGTAAAGGCGTTGGGTTTTGGATATGATACCATGTTTTGAGATAATTTGATTGGTGGCTCTTAAGGGAATAAGATTCACGTGGATCATATTCTATTAATCCAATATTGAGCCTCGGACTTCTTTTACATTGTCATTTGTACCACTATTAAAAACTACTATTTTCCAATCGCGATGTTAATCTACATTACAATTAAGATTTTCCATTTCCATACTTTTTATATTTTGTAAAAGGACCTAGGGTATTGAAATTGCTGCATAGATAGTGATTGTGATTTGTCTTGAATACCTAGGTAGCTATCGAACTGGAGTGATCATGCAGTGTTTCCTTGAATCGATTGGATATTTGATAGAGCGAAAGATGCGTGACTAGGCATTGTATCTAGTAGAAATAAATATCTGTGTTTTTATAAGTCGAGAGATTGATAAGTTTCGATTGACCTCGGGAGGCATGCGCTACGTGACCGGAAAAAGAGGCGGGTATGAAGCACCCTTTTAGAGAACTTCTTTAATGAATTATAAATTCATTTCAAATCAAATATTAGAATTTGAAAAGATTAAATGGAAATTTTCTATTGAGTTTTCTTTATGTTGATGATTAGGACTATATTATATGTATTTAGTATGATGTCGAAAAGAGATTCAAATTATTGAAGTTCTTTTAGGGAGTACTCTAACCTTATTCCCGCGTCTTTTTTCGGTTATGTAGAAGCGTGTTTGGGAAGATGGATGGATGAATGAGAGGAAATATTTCATAAGTGATGTACGAGTATAATTTGAGAAATCATCTGGCTTTATGATGTGATGTGATGTATGCTTTTAGGAATTTTTATGAGTAGTATGTATTTTAACATGAGATGGTTTTCGGGTGATGGAGGGGAGAAGGAAGGGAGATGAACTAGTTGGGTATTCGTCCTGATGCTTCGATGACCTCCAGGGCAATCAGGGAATATGAAACATAAGGGATCACTGATAGGGCTATCCATCATCTCAATATTTTGAGGATAGATATATAGTTTTTTGGACTAATCAAAAACAATCAAGATCAGTTGGGACCAAATCTCGGATAAAAATCCAAAAATGCCGTTTGCGCCCTACCGCAGTCTACGACCCACCACCCAAAAACTCAGTCTTTGCAACACGTGCATTTCAATCTATCTACAGCTTAATCTCTATCAATGGTCCTTGATATGACTTTCGTCCATCAACAAGATACCAGAAAACTGCAAATAAAACCGTTGCACCAAATGTGAGAATACTAAAGTTCATGGTTGCTGGAACAACTGGTGTCTGTGGGGGCCAGAAAGCCCAAAACCACAGCACGAAAATATACACACAGGCGAACGCATTGTTGAGGACACCCAATCTTCCCGGGACGCGCCATGGGCCCCAATGTAAGTTATCTGGACCGACTCTTAGAATACGCGGGTTGTACGCCTTGATTCCAGGAGACTGTAGCCACCGCCAAAGAAGCAGGCCGCAGCAGATGAGATACGAGGAATAGAGACCGGCAATACTGAGATTGACGATATTTTTAAATGCAACACCCGAGCCGAGGATAACAAGCGAAAGGAGCACGGAAACAACAGTGGTAAATGCAATGGTGTATATGGGGATTGAGGTTCGTCGGTCAAGCTAGCGATTAGAAGTTAGCCATGTAATACATCTCGGGAGGTATTATGTTGGCGAAATTGAGAAATTGACGGTTCACCTTTACCCAAATCCTCCATAGTGGAACACCTCTGTCTCTAGCAAAAGACCATAAAATCCTAGAGGAGGAGGCGAGAGCACCAACTGTGCTACAGACACCGAGAGCCACGACGAGTAAGCCCATCACTGCAGCTCCCGCGGTTGAACCGGTTCCTGTTTGGAAGACATGGAGAAATGAGTATCCTAACGTTTCTTGTGCGTTCAACACATCATCGAGATTCCCTAAGCAGAAGAGATATGCGATCATCATCGCAAAGCCTAGAATACCGTTGAGAATGAGACCACTGAGCATTGCACGGGCTACAACAATTGATGCTTTTTTAATCTCTTTCGACATCTGTGTTGAATACAAGTGATCCGCTGGTTAGCCAAAGAACTTTCATTGAACTGACAAGCTGGAAATCATCTCACATGAACGGCCGAATCAGCACCAATAAGCGAGAAAACAGAAGCTGGCAAGCCAATCATGAATGATAGTCCTTGCGAGGACCACCCGCCTTCATTCACAAATGTAGTAAAGAGGGAAGTATCGCCGTGCGGTGAGAGATACACGAGTGGAATCAAAACGGCGAAGAACCCTAGGATGTGTAGCACCAGAATTACACCTTCAAAGTGCGCGAGAGTCTTGCTTGCTACCGTGTTGATCACAACTTGAGAGGTGGGACGGGGCTGGCGCGCTTCTCGACGAAATTAGAATCGATACCCGCATCCATAAGAGGTGGGACGGGGCTGGTACGTTTTCCGGTGGAGTCCTTGTTGACTACAGTAAATCAGATTGTGGTATAATATGGAAGCATTCAAAACAAACCTAGAGGTGCAGCGATTGCGCTTAAAGAAAGAGTAGCCACGAGGATTGTGTGGAGTTTCATGCTTGCAATTGTGTTGGTTGTAATTGCTATAGAAGAATTCGGATCAAATTCAGCTCTTGGAAACTTGGACGACAATGATGTGTAGGAAGGAAGAGAAATCAAAAGTATTTATAACTTGGAAGTCGTTGTGTGAAAGCTCTTATCCTAGTGGATGTACTAAATGCATTTCTAAAGTGAGAGCACAGCATCTCTCAACGTTAAGGACCAAGAACATTCCCAATGGAGTAAAGATTGCATGCAAAATCATGATAGTTTGCATAAAGCATGGTGAGTCTGTGGTATTGTAGATGTTCCCCCGAGTGTGTCACGTCTGCATTGGTAAATATGATGGACAATCCGCCAGTGTACCTAGAAGACCGATTGCTAATTCTAATCTGACCTTCGTAGAGGCATGAATGTATTTCGCCTAGGTAAATGTAATTGAGTCGGACACTTGAGGTCATACATGTGTAGTTCCAAATCACGAACTCGTATTAGCTGATTGCTTTGTGCTTCCGGATCTGCCTCAAGAAGATAGTTGTCTGCCAAATGTGCAGTGTTGTGGTATGTTTCGTCGCTATCTATAAGTGGTACGCGGTGAGCATAATAACACCACGATAGGATACTCGGTGGCGAGGGGGTTACAGTTGCCTTGAGATACAGACTCAATTTAAATGAAGATGCCACACTCCTACACGTCTGTGAATGCGAACCAGAGGCAAACGGTTCTTCAACACATTGCAGATATGCACTGTGCCTTGTTTCAATCTGCTGCGGAACCATTCAAAAACGGTATGCTTATTTTTACCTGCAGAACAGAGGCGCAAAATGCAGCAGCTGTTTAAAGATCAGCGCTTGCTTCTTTCGTCTTAGGGTTATATTAACAAATCATGGCCATACTGATCAGCTGCATATTTCTTGAACAGCGCAGAGGCTGGACCTTTCGACGCCTGGCGAAACCCAGTGCAGATATTTCTTCCAGTACAATAGTAAGGGATCTGAACCATTGCGGAGGAGTGATATTACAGAATATAGAAATCGCAAAGGAGCCAGATTTCTCCTCATCAATCTTACCTTACAAAGTTTTTAAGAACCCTCCTGCTAATTAAGATGAATTTTTTTGAATCAAAGCACTCTCCAGAATTCACAGATTTGGACGATCATGAAAGACTACTTGGCGTTGACAATTCATCGTATGGGAACTTTGATGTAGCCTCTACAAAGGTTATAGAACCCTTCAGCCTCTTAAAATCATGGCGCTTGATTTTGACTTTCATCTGTGCCATGTACATAATCGTGTCTGCTCCTCTGCTCATACTCTTGAGCCAGAGAATTACTCCACTACTACCATACTGTTCGTTTAGCATGGTTCCCGAGCATGTATTCTCAAATTGACAACTTTACAGCGCCGATCAATGAAGTCCTTTCATATGAACGGCATTCTTTGCACTTTGGTGAAGACCCCAAATTCACTGGAGCTCCCCAAGACGTGGATGAAGCATGGGAATATCTTCTAGAGCGTATGTGAAAGGGATTTCTCGTGTAAACAAGCTTTGAATATTGCTAAAGGGTTGGTAGCTATCAATATTCATACTTCGAGGGAGGAATTAGAGATGGCTCACACAACTTTTGGCCAAGATATCGTGCGATTAACAAACGGAGAATATGTTTCGGTTCTATCGGTACACCACGAACTTCATTGTCTAGTGAGTGTACCTATAATCAAAGCTCACATGTTTTTTTACTGTTGCAAGAATTCACGTCACTGACGTCCTCATAGAACGCGCTTCGCATGAACATATTCCATGACTATTACTTCCCAAATGCTACAGTCGAGGAGGAAGAGTATAACATCTCACACATGAGTGAGTTCTTTTCTCTCGAATGTTCAAATCTTTAGAGCACCGGCTAATAGTTAAAACAGCTCATTGTGTCGATACCATCCGTCGTAGCCTAATGTGCAAAGCTGATGTGAGCATTTATACGGCACACTGGATCGGAGATCATAACGCTTTGCCCAACAAAGAACTTCGGTCAGAATCAGAGACAGTGTGTGTGAACTGGGAAGCGATTAGTGCATGGTCAAGAGAGAGATCGCTCCCGAGAAACAAGTATAAAACTAGACCGGGAACATTCGAGACGGATCCCTTAGGAGCGTAATGTTTTGTAAGCAAGTTACATTAAAAAGGGACCCTGCCTCTACGTAAGCGAAAAAACAGGCGGAAATTGAATACTCTTTCAAAGGTCTTTTTTAATAGATTATAAATTCATTTCAAATTATATATTGAAATTTGAAAAAAGCAAACGAAAATTTGAGTCTTCTTTGTATTGAAATCAAGTGTTTTTATTATTTGATGTTATATCAAAAAGAGATCTTATTTATTAAAGACTTTTCGAATGGTGATCAATTCCCGCCTGTTTTTTTGCTTACATAGAGCCTGCGAGCCTGCAATTCTCGAGAGAATGGTAACCAATAGGAGAAAACTGATTTGCGAGGGCACGCACAAGGAAACGAAATTGTCATTTTTTCATCCAAATTAGAATGTGTCGTACCATTTTCTTTGATGATTACTCGGAACCAAGCCGTTTGTTCCAACTCCTATATGGCCCTTGTAAGTAGATGTTGAAGCATAGCATAATGCCACGACGTACTTAGCCTTGCAAGTGAGTTGCTACCACGCTATTCACTCTCTGCTGTATACTATGCTATGATCGCTCGGACATTTACCCCAGCTTCCAAGAGATCTGATGAACACAAGCTCACCGGAAGTGCGACTGGGCTGCATTAGGGTTGTGTGATGTAGCATGATAGGAATTTATCAGGCTGCATACCTAGGTATTTTATGGAGTAATCTGTTCCGCTAATCGACCATTGGCACGGCTTTCTACGCGGTCAAAGCACTTACGATGATGGAATATGCACACTCGAGGCAAAGTGGCCAGTTTTCTTGCTCCTCATGCTGTGTAACTGTGATGCTTCACAGACTGTTCAAACATTGATTTTTTTTCTCAAGAAAAACGTCCACCATACTTTCAGATCACAACTGCATATATATTTCGGCTTATTGGTTGCAATGACCCCTGCAATCGTATCTCCTTATGCTCAAATCTACGGACTAGGACTTGAATAAAACATGGATCTGTCGGTCAAATTCTAGTGTTTCTTACTAGGTATCTAGACAACGATTGGATTTTCCCTAGCAATCCTCCGACGATGATAGAATAGCTGGCGTTTTAAGACGAATAGTAATTAAATTCGACGTCTCAGGATAGATCGTATAAGAAATCAATATTTTGAGAAGAGTAAAGACGATATGGTACCTACGATGATAGATTCTAATGATTAATGTTATATTGTATCTAAAGAGATAGCTATAACGTGTTTTATCACCGAGTGGATCATATCATCGAATGGATCATTTGAAAATACACCAAAATCAACTATTTTTAAATATTCTTATTTTAATAACCAATCATTATTTCTGAAAATTGAAAGATTTAAAATAATGATAATAATTTAGCTTTTTAGAAATTTAGTTTTAATATAAATATCTTTATTAAATTCAACAAAAATTCGAAAATGTTACGATTTTCGTTACAAAAAAACTATTTCTATAATAATTCTTATAGTGTTTTGAATATCCAAAAAAAAAATTAGATTTTCATAGTACACTTTTAATTAGATTTCATATATTAAATTTTTAAAAAATTCTATCAATAAATAAAGAAAGTGCATAGTTACGTACAGACGAATTTTGTATGTAAATTGAGTGATCCATTCGGTGATATGATCCACTCGATGATAAAACACGTTATATAGAATAAAGTAATTCTTAAATATTAAGACTAGCCCTCTCGCTTAGTAGGCTATAACGTGTTTTATCATCGAGTGGATCATATCACCGAATGGATCACTCAATTTACATACAAAATTCGTCTGTGCGTAACCGTGCACTTTCTTTATTTATCAATAGAATTTTTTAAAAATTTAATATATGAAATCTAATTAAAAGTGTACTATGAAAATCTAATTTTTTTTTTGAATATTCAAAACACTATAAGAATTGTTATAGAAATAGTTTTTTTGTAACGAAAATCGTGACATTTTCGAATTTTTGTTGAATTTAATAAAGATGTTGATATAAAAACTAAATTTCTAAAAAGCTAAATTATTATTATTATTTTAAATCTTTCAATTTTCAGAAATAATGATTGGTTATTAAAATAAGAATATTTAAAAATAGTTGATTTTGGTGTATTTTCAAATGATCCATTCGATGATATGATCCACTCGGTGATAAAACACGTTAGTAGTTTACTAATTGATTAAGATTATCTACGTTTAGACATTTTAAATATTGTGCATTTGAGGAATTTAAAAATTGTTATAATGATCAAAAAAAATAGAAATTCTGTAAATCTTTAGTTCGAAAATTCCTTCTCGTTAACGACTGGCTATGATTATTTCCAAGGTTATTTGAATAAATTGGTGAATTAATCAAATGAATAACGTGGTTTATCAGCATGTGCACTATATCAGTATGTGCATCACTTTTACCTCAATTATCCATATTATATTAATATAAAATAACAATAATGCTATAAAATAGAATCAAATTATATACAATCTAAAGATCAATTAATACTAAATCCAATTGACAAGTTTGTGCATTATATAAAACACTATTATATTTACTATATTATTGTATAGCAGATTGCCTTCTTATTAAAGAATTATCATTTGTATATTTATTGTGTTATATTTGATTATTTACATTCTCTTGTTTCAATATATCATATCCATTTCCTATTAAAAGGACTCCTCCTTTTCGTGTAAAAGCCTTTTGAGCTCTACAACGTTTACTAAATACTTCATTCGCTTTACAAAGATTATAAATCTCAACAATTAAAAGTATATTCTATCACGGAGGTAATAGCTATGTCTAATGGTCACTTTGATCAGGAGATAGGTATATAGAGTGATAATAAACTAGATTGACTTGAGGTGTGATCATAAGGATCATACCTGCTTTATATACCCTGATCAGGCGATGGAATCGCCTAATTATGTATATAGGGTACACAAATGAACTGAGTGAAATAGTTTTAGTAATCATGGGAATGAGTACTCCGGAGGAGTACTAGGATTAATACCGTAGGGTTATACTATACGGTGAATTCCGTGACATATTCGTATAAGCTAAAAGTTCTATACCCTTAGCCAAAACTGCAACTGTTTCAAATATAAGTGTAGAGGAATTGTTTAGATATTGTACAATACGACTTTTAACTAAAGTAGATTGAAAAAAAGCTTCGGTAGGATTATGAGGTGTTTGAGATTGCTATATTCCAGGATCGGTTGAGGTTGATTTATTTGATAAAATCCTTATTCAAATATCTAGCTTTGAAAATACAGCTTCCGAATCAAATAGGATGAGCCCAGTTTCACGGAATCTAGCTTTCCCATTTGATATTGATATTGCTTCAGTATATATAGTTTTGAAAATTTGAAAGAATTTGATTTTGATAATATAAATGATATGTACTTTGATAAAATTCTCGATCTATCGACTATATAAATACTTTAAAAACTAAAACAATTGATATTGGGTGATTGAATTAAATGCGAAGAATGAGGCAATAAACCAAGTAATATAATATTGTTTTCCTTGTAGTATTTCTGAAAAGCTATAGATTGATAACTTTTATATCTATCAAATATTAGTATATGATATCCACTTACTTTTTTACCTATAATATGCTTATCAAAATGCTTAATCCATTCAAGATCAATTTCATTATCTGTTTATCTATTGGGAGTAGGTTTTATAATTCAATCATATAGTAAACTACTTTCAGTATATTAGTTTGAGAAGTGATATTTGTCTTTAACTAGCAGAAATGGAGATATATTGTGACTCTCTCTATTTATACAAATAATCGCTATAGCTCATTTTCGATTGCTAGATTGTATAACTTTACTTCTATTATATCGATTGGCTCTAGTAACTACTATATACAATGATATTTATCCCATCATAAAGCCGGTTTCATTAAAATTATAGAAATCGCAATCGAGAATGTTATATTTGATTTATATATTCATTACCAACCAAAACCACTTTCCAATAAACTCTAAATCTTTATAGAGAACTCTTTGAAAATCATAAACACAAGTAAAACACATCTTTAAATCCAAATATTGTTATACAAATCGATTCGCCCAAGCTTTCCAATTTTCTTATTACCCTTCGATTTCAGAATATTATTTGCTATATTTTCCATATTATTTATTCTAAAACTAAATCCTCTATCATCCATATTAAATATATATTGAATAATAACCTCCTCTTTTAAAATAATCAAATTATAACTTTTTGATCGAAATTCTATACAAGAGGTCAAATCATTTATTCTGCAAATGAGTATTGTATATAATATATTATATAGCTTAGCAGCTTTCCGAATACTCAGTTTTTTGTCTTTTGAATAACTCTAATAACTAAAAGTATTTATATTTTTTTATTATTCAATTATATAATGAATTGTTAATAAATCGTGTATTGAAGTGGAAAGATAATAATTAAGGTAAAAGTGGTGCACATACTGATATGGTACACATGCTGATAAACCACGTTAGTTTGAGAGTGATTATATAATCATGCGATTATATAACGTGGTTTATCATCATGTGGGCCATATCATCATGTGGGCCACTTTCACCTCAATTATCATCTCTTTGCTTTAATATGCGATTTATCAACAATCTATTATGGAAACGACTAATAAAGAAGCACAAATCATTCTAGCTATTGAAGCTATTCAAAAAGACAAAAAATTAAGTATTCGGAGAGCTGCTAAGCTGTATAATGTCCTGTGTATAACGATTCAGCACAAAATGAACAATCTTATTCCTTGTACAGAATATCGATATAAAATCTATAAGATTACAGAATTGGAAGAGGAAGTGATTATTCAATATATAATTGATATGGATAATAGAGGGTTTCTGCTTAAACTTAAAGGTGTGGAAGATATAGCGAATTATATTCTCGAATCAAGAGGTGCAAAGAAAGTTGGAAAGCTTTGGGCTTATCGATTTGTAAAGCATTATATGAGATTAAAGACGTGTTTTAATTGTGTTTATGACTTTCAAAGAGTTCTTTGTGAAGATTCTAAGTTTATTGAAGATTGGTTTTGTCTAGTTTCGAGTATGTGGGCAAAATATGGTATTCTCGATTGCGATTTCTACAACTTCAATGAAACCGGCTTTATGATGGGTATAATATGCCT